TGATGTTGTATGGATAGGAACAAATACAAAATGTGTTTTAATGAAATGTATTGTACCCATAGATATCACAAATATTTGTTCAAGCACAGATAAGGCTGGAAAGGGTTTAATTGCTGACAGTACTAATGGAAACATCTGGGGCCACACTTGCAGTGTCAAACAGTTCCATTTCGTTGAGCAACTGATTTCCATAAAATCTACTGTAATTTCTGCCCTTGTGAAAATTGTATTTTTATTAAGGCTGCAGAGAAGAAACCGTGGTCCCCTTCAAATCAGGCACAAAGTTTTCATCTTTAAAATCCAAAAGGATACTTGAAAGGAGACAAGTATAATTATTTCCATTTTACAAATGGGAAAATAAAGGGAAATCAATTAGATTACCCAGATTGTCACATGAGCACATCACTGATAGCATTTCCTGCCTTCAGTGTACAGACCCAAAGCCCAGCATAGTCGCACAACATTACTCTAATCATGTTGTTGTTTGAGGCACCAGCCTTGTTTTTCTCAGGTGTTAAACAATTTCTATTCTATTTTTAAATTATTTCTACTGAGATGTGAATGATTTGTGTCCTAAAGGTATTCCAAGGTGTCTGTTTCACCAGTGAGAAGCATTGTGAAATGGGAAACAAATACCATGCATTTGGGTAGTCTGAAGTAACCTCAATCTTCTTTTCACATTTCTCTCTTTTTTATTGTTTCTTAGTTTAATTTCTAAAATTTTATCTCTTTTTTCTATCCATCTCTTTGTCTCTTCCCCTTTTCCTTCTCTCCTTCTCTCTTGAGGTTAGCATAAGTACAGCTGTTAATAATACAAGATTTGTTCATCTAAATATTTAAACAGGGATTCTTTCCAGTAGACAGGAGGAAGAACACTGCCTACAGGGCATGTTGTGCCAGCTCTTCTAAGACATTCCTTGTTATTTTTCAGCAGCCAGCATAATGATGTGGTTGAATAACATCAAATGAAGTGAGATAAATATCCTTGTCCTGCACGCCTTTGGCTGAGTCACAGGATCCTTTTCATGACAGCAAAAGCATTTTATAAAAATCCTTTTACTCTGTCAAAATAACATGTATAGCAGGTGACTATTCGTTCATCCAGTAGTTCATTCTAAGCTTAGCAGTTTATTAATTCTTAAGTATTCTGTACAAAAAGTTAAAAGTTATTTGCAGAACCTGCAAACATAAAAAAGCAGCAAAATAACAACTTGCAAACTGCCATTTTTGAGAGGAAATGACTGCAAATATCAATCCAAATTTATTTCAACATTAGAACAAACTACTAATGGTATTTTCCTTAATAAAATACCTGTTTAAGTCTTTCAGTAGCTGTAATTCTCTACTGTTAAGTTACACTGCTACAAGTGAACAAAAGAATGTGCAGAGAACTTTTGAAACCTGAGTTTTCTAACACCAACCTATGATTAAATTATGATATTCGCTATGAACATATATGGATTTATTCCTGATTCTAGAGCATCCAGTCTGCATTCCAGCTTTAACTTCTGTTGCCTCAGTGCCATGCTAAACTGGGACCTCACCCTGCTGTGAGAGCCATCTCTTGAGGTAATGTCTGTATCCTGCTCTTGCCAGGAAGGAAGAGGACCAGAGCACTTGCTCTCCTTTTGTGCCTTGCAGGGTGCTGGGACAGTGCAGAGTGCTCAAGGGTGATTATGTGCTGCCAAACTGAACACTCCCTCGTGTTGTCTGCATTAGGGCAGATCTTCTAGCTCCTGGGCTGCTCTCATGCTTCACTTTGCAGGCACAAAATGGAAAGGCTTTATACTTCCTGCTCTCTGTTTTTCATGATTCACAATTTATGCTGGATCATGATAATGGTGAACCTCCTTTTCTGTTTTATGAAATCTAAGGATGTTTTAGACATTTCATACCTATTGTAATAGCATTCCTTTTGCTGAAACCAGTGGAAACATTTCTGTCAACTTGAGGGAGAGGAGGCTTTGGCTGGTAACTTTCTTCCTGCATTTGTCTTTTGTTACTTGGCCAGTTATTTTTCCTCCTGCTAACAAATAGTAAATGGGGTAACATCAGACTGGAACCCTGTCACTAGTGGGGTTCCACAGGGCTCCATCCTAGGCCCTGTGCTCTTCAACATCTTCATAAATGACCTGGATGCAGGACTGGAAGGGATACTAAGCAAGTTTGCAGATGACAGAAAACTTGGAGAAGCTGTTGATTCCCTTGAAGGCAGGAAAGCCCTGCAGAGAGACCTCCACAAATTAGAGAACTGGGCAATCACCAACCATATGAAGTTCAACAAGAGAAAATGCCGGATTCTGCACCTGGAATGGGGCAACCCTGGATGTTCGTACAGACTAGGGAATGAGATGTTGGAAAGCAGTGCCATAGAAAGGGACCTGGGGGTCCTGGTTGACTGCAAGTTGAATCTGAGTCAGCAGTGCCCTGGCAGCCAGGAGGGCCTGGGGGGCATCAGCCACAGCATCGACAGCCAGTCGAGGGAGGGGATTGTCCTGCTCTGCTCTGCACTGGGGCAGCCTCACCTTCAATGTTGTGTCCAGTTTGGGGCACTGCAATATAAGATATTAAGCTCTTAGAGAGTGTCCAAAGGAGGACAGCAAAGATGGTGAAGGGCCTTGAGGAGCCACTGAGGTCACTTGGTTTGTTTAGCCTGGAGAAGAGAAGATTGATGGGAGACCTCACTGCAGTTACAACTTCCTTGTGAGGGTAAGAGGAAGGGCAGCCACTGCTCTCTTCTCTGTGGTGACTAGTGACAGGACCTGAGGGAGTGGCCTGAAGTCAGGGAGATTAGGTTGGGTATTAGAAAAAGATTCTTCCCCCAGAGGGTGGTTGGGCACTGGAACAGACTTTCCAGGGCAGTGGTCACAGCACCAAGCCTGACAGAGTTCAAGTGTTTGGATGATACTCTCAGGCACATAGTGTGACTCTTGGGGCTGGTCCTGTGCAGGGCCAGGAGTTGGACTCAATGATCCTTGTGGGTCCCTTCCAACTTGGCATATTCTGTGATCCTGTGAAATGTTCCAGACCACTGTAGTAACCTCAAAACCTTTTACAGCACTAGGTAGTACCAGTATCTGCTTTCTGTATCTGTCACTTTAAATGACAGTCTCATTTAGCAACAAGTAAACATGCTTGCCTCTTCATTCCTGTCATTTTCCACTGATTGAATGAGTGAAGTATGAAGACCTGGAAGTGTTGCAACATCCTGGTGTTGCAGCCTGCCTACAACTGGCCTGTTTGCCAGCAGTGAAGAAGGCTAAAGGCAAGTTTGATGACTCAGTGTTGGGGGTGGATTGGACAGTGGAACTGGTGAGGAGTGAGAAAGATGGCTGTGGCTCAAGCCTCATTCTTCGGATGGAGTTGACTTTTTATTTTGCTGCAATTAGCACTAGGGGGGTGGGATTGGGCAACCTTGCCCAACTTAGCACCACTACGAGTTCTTTCCAGCTCCTCCAGAACCCTGTGGAATTTCAGTATCGTTTTCTGTGGCATGTTCACTTATGTCAATGAGTGCCTCCAAAACTAACAAAAGAGGAGTCAGGGCAGGGAAGCGGAGGAGGAAAAGACAAGCAAGAGAGCCAGCTGAATATTCTTGCCAAGTTTTGCTAGAGCTGTGTGACTGGCTCTGTTATTCAGGTCTCATGGCATTTACTGGTGGGCTGTAAGAATACAGGGGTTTAATTATTAGCATGAAGGGCATATGGTTGCTGGATGACCAGATGGGAAATGCAAATGAAATACTAAAAATATAGCAGTATTTTTTTCTCACCAAGGGTCTGTCTGACAGATAGGGTTTGTATTGTGGGTTGGAATCAGAGGGGGTTGTGATGTTCTCAGTAAGAGAAAGACAAAGAAGGAGAAAAGAATGGGAAAGTGGTAGCCCTATCATTAGGTACTCAGTATTTGAGTTCAGCAAAAATAGCCATGTTGTAAGGGAGAGAGGTGATTAACATCAGAAAATCTACCTGACCTGTCTATTTTCACTGCCATCATCCTAGGTGAGGAACTGGCAGGCCTATGGGAGTGGTGTCTGGAAGGATTAAGTCAGGCAACTGGCGGTTTTTGGGCAGTAGGAGAGTTTGCAGAGGCTGCAAGGACCCCAGAAGACATAGGAAGAAACATGGGCTGCACAGGGAAAAGGAGCTGTAAGGGAACTTAAGCTCTGAAAGCAGTCTCACACTCCTATCCTCTCTCACCACATTCCTTGCATAAGCAGGCAGCAGCCTGCTCCTCTCTCTGTCCTGGTTTCCTGTGTGCAAAGCTTTTCTTGGCTGGATATGCTCCTGCTTGGTTAGTGCTCGCAGGCCACCTGGGTTCTGGGGATGGGTTTCTGGTGCAAAGGCTTTTCTCAGGCTCTGTCACAAGATTATTATATTTTGACCCTGGTTCCTTGGCACACGTCTTGCCTTGGTCTACAAAGTTCTGATAGACATGTATTTAACACCTGAAATAGAACATGGTCATATTTGTTTAGGTAGCTCTGAGCAGATTTTTTGAATAAGTGTAGTACTTTTCCTATGTTTGGGAAAATATTTTCCTCCATGTCCTAGTTTCCCTTTATTATCTTAGTATACTTTGTAATTTAGAAGCAAAAGCACTAGCATGCGGGCATAAGGATGTCATAGGCAGGGGAAGGGGCTTCAGGTTTTGACAGTCTCTGCAACAATAATGATCCCTTTTACACCATTTTTCTCATCTGAACACACCACAAACTTCTTGTCCCTCCATACCAAAACTCCCTTGCTATCTGGATGTGTCTTTCTGCTACAGCAAAATTAAACACTCTCACCACTGGTATAAAGATAAATTGTGAGTAATTCAGACTTGCACAAATTTAGGTGCTGTGATTGACCATTACCCTTAAGTAGGGCAAGGAAGTATGATGCTGCACTTGAAACTGGCTTGAGACCAATGTCTGCACCCTATAAAAATCAGAGCCTCCCAGATGAAGTTTGCATGACTGCATGTGGGTAAACCTTTCTAACCTGACTCCTCAGGTGAGATTCCAACCTGGTGCACAGAGGAACATGGCTCCCCTTCTGAAGTTCTGGGTTTCCAGGCAGATGTACAACAAGCCATCAGCCTCCTCTCATGGGTCCACCAGCTTGTCATGCTATCCCAGCCCCTTCAGCCACAGCTCCCCCTACCCTGAGGCCTTCCAGCAAGACTTGGTGAGTGTGGTCCTCATTTCTTCCCTGTTTCCTGCACTTTAAAATGATTTCCCACTTGGAGTCATCATGTGGCAATATAATACCCTGGTAGTTGAATGAAGTGCATGTAACTCCATGTGCTTTTGTTTCCAAGACCATATCAGTGCTAAATAGGCTCAAGAAATAAACCTATCTTTTCCTAATAGGTGCTTGCTGCTCTGCAGTATCACAGGTAGTTTTCCTTTGTAGCCTGATCATTTAATCATTCTCTTACCCTTTTCCATATTAGTGCTGATCAAGCAAAACAACTCAGACAGTCAGCAAGAGGAAGCAACTATTATTTACATTAAATTTTGACCAAGTGAATGCCCTGATAAACCAGGTCACACAGGATACAGATTCTGCTTGGTTTTTCCTTGCAGGTTCTCTTCTTTGCCATAAAGGATATTTACAAATATACTATTATTTCTACATGTAAATGACATTTTTGACACCCCAACGAGTTCAAATTAATGTTTGAAACTCAATTTTAAGAGGAAATATTTAGTATCAGACAGAGGAGATTGTGGAGATTTACGTGTTACTTCTCAGTAGAATATTGGCTGTTAATAAGAGTTATGGCTTATTCCAAATAACTGCAAGTAACAACAGCAAAGATGATGAGGGCTTCCTGAACCAGCAACAGCAGTTGCTGAAGGAATAATGGGCCTTCTTGTGGCAAAATTAAGTCCTGTAGATTTTGCAACTGAATGCCTTTTGAAATTTTTTTCTTTACACAGAAAATTGCTCCATGCATGGCCTGTGCTAATAATCAAACGCATCTTAACTACATTTTGCACTATAAGTAAATTTAGTTGTTTGAAAAGAAATATTTAATCTCGCACTCTTTCATGCATTGCTACTAAACTTGCGCCATAGTTTCATCTCTGTTGAGCAAAACTGAGAGCATGGACCAATGAAGGACCGGTGCTAACCACATAACCATGGACCTGCTTGAAGTCCAAATCTCAGTAGCAAATTAGAGCACAGCTGAGCTACGTGTGGGTTTTAGCTGAGCAATTATTGGCAGAACCCTAATGGACAGCAATATGAATGTATTTAGCATTCATGCTCTCTCTCCCACCTCTTAGGAAGAACTGTTGTAGGGGATTAACTTGAGGACCAGGCTGAAAAAATCAGAACTGGACTCTTAAAGTATATTCCATGTTGAAGGTTTTGTCACAGGATATAGGACCCCATAGTGTGTTGTGACAAACCGCTCCCTAAATTATGTTATGTGACATTCAATGGGGAACTGTCTTCTTTTCTTCCTGCACTGACTTGGTACTGGGAAAGACTTTTATCTTTGGCTATGGCTCTAGATGAGGCCACGGTGAAAATCCCAAACCCCACTAAGATCTGGGATAGTGTGATATCCACGGGTTTTTCATTTTGAGGCAGTCTGTGAACTCCAGGGCTGTTATAGGCCGTAATCTGTGACTCTTCATGATTTCTCAGTGATTAAGGACTGCTTACTACCTTTCTTATTAACTAAAATACAGCAAAAAAAAATAAAAAAACACCATACACGACTTTAAATAAACAAAGAAGTATTTTAAAGTGAGAGACCAACTAAATCCATGACACTGAGATTAGCTCAGTTGGTTAAAACTTGGTGCTAATAACACCAAGGTCATGGGTTCAATCCTCTGTATGGGCCATTTGCTTAAGAGTTGGACTTGATCCTTGTGGGTCTCTCTCAACCCTGAATATTCTGTGATTCTGCGGTATTCAGAATCTGACACACAGAGCTTTGTGTATGCAGTCTGTAGTCATGAAAGCAATGTTCTAAGTCTTTTCTCTAATTACATAGGAATCATAAGAATAATTTTGTTTTGATGTTCTCTCCACAGAAAACTGCCTTTTAAGGGATGATCTAAAAAAATGCTAATTGCTGTACATGGGTGAGTAGATGGCTGAACTAAAAAACCACGTGATTAAGCTTCTTTCCCCCATGCCTAACACTAGAACACCATAAATCCAAACAATTTGGGATCACATCACCATTTGGATAAATAAAAATTTTCTTGTGGCAATGCTTGCTTTTGAAATGTGGATTGTTCCAATGTACTCTTGAGATTTTCTTCTGGAAGCAAGTATTCTGAAAAAATACGGAACAGATATAAAAATTTCAAAGTTATGCCTTAAAATTTTCTTAGCAGAGTAGTCCCGAAGTGGTGAGGGTAGGAGGAGCAGCAGAACCAACTGCAAATCAGTATTATGCTACTCATTTGGCTTAATGAGGTCAGAGCAATCTTGTACCGTTGTTTCATCCCTGAATTTAATTCTGGAATGATCCCTACATTAATTTTTTTTCACCTTGCAAAACTTGTTCTACATTGCATCCCTTGGGGATCAGTGATTCAGAAGATACATCCTTTCTAAATACCAGGTTTCTGCTGCAACAGTTGTGTCTTTTCAAGACTTTCTAGAGAGTAACACATGACAGTAAAGGGGTTGTTTCATGTACATAGAACCCCTTATATTTTGATTTAATAATTCCCAGAGAGTTCTCAGAGGAGAAATACTAAGCATTTTCTTAGGAGAAAAAATTTAAAATACACATAGAAACAGGTTATGACTTCAGAAGATGAAGTCTTTGGCAATTATACTAGTTTAATTATACCAGTTAATGCATCACCCCTTCAGATGTTCCAACACAACTGTTGATGAATCAGACTGAGGAAATCATCAGCTTCAGAAGTGTTGGGAGTGTTTCTAAAAATGAGATCTGTTTATTAGCTGGTTCATAGTGCCTTATAACACTGCTGCATAAACAGCTATGCCAGCACGACTGAGGAAAGTGGCAAAGTATGGGAATGAGAAATGTATGGGAAAGATAGGGTATGTTAATTGGCAATAATGGCAAAGATTTTGTCTTTTAACAGACAAAAGTTTGACTTTCTCCTTTATAACTATATAGTAAATTGTATAAGGCACTGCAAGGTAGTATGCAGAATGTAGAGATGATCTTACAAAGAAAAGCTGTTGGACTGTAGATTAACTGGTTTGCTAATTTTGACTCTTTCAGTTTGTTGCTGTTGTGTATTTAAATATATCATTTCAACATCATTTATACCTTTGCACTTTAGCAGAAATACTTACATCCCCCACTGATCTTTGTCCAGAGCTGATGTCTTATTTTTGACAGCATGTCCCAGACAAGTTCTATTTGTCATTATAGACTTCTAAGAGCTTGCAAAGGTCTCATTTTTTTCCACTCCTTCTGCATCTTGATGACAGGCACAACCATCAGCATTCCACACTCTGGGGTGACAGGTCAGCATAGCTGGTGGTGACAACAGAAATCTGTAGCCTGAATTTGAAGCGGAGCAGGTATAATGTTCAGCTCATAAAATATTCCCAGATTTTGTGTAAGCCATTCCATCTACAAGGTATTATTTCCTTCCTAAAACACATCTTGTGGGACCAAACATCACATTAGTGAAAACTGTCAATAAGTAAGCCTAGAGAGTGACACTAATATAGTAGTACAACAGTGGCATAGATTTGTAAATCCAGTTTACTATTGCAGGTACATATATTCTTGCATTAAACAGCTGCTTTTACCTAGACACATAGATGCATGCAAACACGTGCATGCAGTGCATTCTTACTGTATTTTCAGACTAAATGTCTTGGGTGAAAGAAATTATGTCATATATGGCCTGTGGTAACTACAGGTGTGATTTCAACATACCAGCTACTGAACACATCTAATAATTACCATTCCCAAATCTAGATCTTGGTGGACCCTCCTGGGTCTGGAACCCTGCCTTGCCTTTCGTGGTGTGTGCAGAGACACAGAATATCCTAGCACCCACATATCCTCCTCATTGCTTTCTCTCTTTGGGCTAATGTTAGATATTGAATTTTGTGTGCATTTTATACACAGAATAAGTGTGTTAGGTCAGGAGGTTTCCCTCTTCTAAATAAACAAATGCATTGTAATTCCTTTCTTTATTTCCTTTTGTCAAAACAAAAAGTAAGCATCGTTTGATTTCACCATGGGGGATAAGAGGCTGAAGCACTAAACTGATCATTTGTTTCTTGTTTTGATCAATTCATTTGTCTTCAACACGAAAAGAAAGTAGCAGAACTGCACCTGCTTTCCAGAGTGTTTTGACCTGACAGTAGTATACAAAGAGAGAAATAATAAATTTCCACCAGAAAAAGAGGATGGAAAAATCAAAACTGGAGTTGAAGTCTTTGAAAAAATATTAGAACTTTTCCTTAAACAAAATAAAGATGTAAGCAATTTTTTCCAGTCATGGATACATTCATAGTTTAATTTCAGGCAATATCTGTTTGATACACTCTCTTAAATATTTTTTCTATGTTCTGAATTAACTGTCAAGGTTTCTAATAAATTGTTTTTTTCTCTAGATAGAGTTGGACACGCTTGTGTTTGCCTGGACTCAGTGTGTGAGGGAAGCTCAACCACTCAGGTGGTGTTTAATTTCTTGCAAGACAGGGGCCCCAGCTTCTGCTTTAGATGACATGTGTGAGCTACTTTTAAAATATATTTTTAGTTTTATGCAAAATATTCTTTCTGTGAGTCCAGTTATGTGTCAGCCTAATTCCCACACACCTCAAACACAAATCACCAGGGTAGCAAATACACGTTCAAATTCCAAATATGCTTTAGCGCAGCACAATGGTTAAGAATGTCTTATTTTCTTTTTTTCTTTTTTTTTTCTTTTTTTTTCTTCTTTTTTTTTTTTTTAAAGCTAGTTAGTGCAGTATTAGGTAGGTCACTCTGGCCACATTCCCAGATTTTAACAGTGGGGGCCTTGTGGAATGCTAAACGATGTGTATAACAGCATTCAGGCTCTCTGTGAGCCAATCCGTCAAAACATTTGCTGCTTTGAAAATGTGTTCTTCAAAAAAATGGGCATATGGAACTTATTAGACTATTTGGTGGAGTTCAGGCAGCAGAGCCCAAGAGAAGCATAAAAACATTTGAGGACACAATTCTACCTTAAGGTAATAGGATCTCTAAACTGTTCTTTTGCAATCAAATAAATACAAAATACAGAGGAGAAACTTCCTGAATGGAGAACATTTTACATTCCAAACGGTCACAAGACCTTAAGTAAAGAACTTGTAACAGTAGTTAAAAAGCGTTGGTTTGATCGCAGCAAACCTGTTTCCTCAGCAGAGTGTATTGATCCTTGGCTCTTTAACAGTTCAAGTTGTATCAAGGAGTTCTGACTCATGATTTTGCTGCAGTGGATTTTTGTGTCTCTGGTGCATTGGCAGTGAGGGTCAATCAGTCTCCTTGGAGATGAAAAAAGACAGTGCTGCTGCTGAGAAACACTAATGAGCTGCCATTTTCCAGCACCTGCTTTTACCTTCTTCCAAGTAATTCCTCGTCCCTGTTGCAAAGTGAGCACAGAATGACCCCAGAGTGAGCAGATCTTCCTTCACAGTGTTGAACAAGAAGGCAGATTACACAAATGACTCAGATTAAGTTTTGGCTTTGGCAGTCACGGCAAGAGAAAGCACTGGATTTTGCTGTCCCATGGTTAGCCCTAGAACAGACTGTTACACGGAGTCCTCCGAGGACAGAATTATAGGAGGATGGAGGAATCTGTGCAAGCCCTAAACTCTCTCCCACCCTCTCATCTGCTTTGACACTCCTCTGAGTATGAAACTATGACCTGCGCATGTTCTTTACATCACCTGCTAGCTTTGATCACTACTGCAAATAATTAAAAGGACATCCTGTTCTTCTATAGTCTCTTTCACACAATTAGGTGTTACAGGCCAAAGTGGCATTTGCGGACATCTGATCATCTTTTTCTGTCCCATAAAAAGACTGAAAGTCTGGGATTTTGTTTTGTTGATGTATCTGTACTCACGAATATTTCTCTTTCTGTGTGGCTGTAGTGTAAGGAGACAAAAAGATATACTAAGTATTAAAAGTGGATTGTTAGAATTTAAAGTAAGGCTGGTGACATTTGCTGCTGTGGTATAGAGTGGTCTTTGTTACTGCAGTGTTTGAATGATGAACTGAGTTACATAGCAGGCTGTGGCAGCTGTGGTGCTTTACAAAGAATCTCACAATTATGTTCTTAGCAGGTTAACAAGTTTGGGACCATTGTAGGACACTTGATGGACAGTAACCCTGCTGTAGAAGTACTGTGCTAGCCAGTCATGTAGGATCTGGGGGGAAGGATTCTGATATTGCAAATGCTGCTTTTTTAGCAACCTCTACAGTAGACTAACGCATCCCTGAAAAGAAGTCTCAGCCCTGAGACATTGCAATGGGTGGGGAAGAGGGAGCAAGGAGGGAGAATGAAACATCTCTGCCTTCAATCACAGCTCCCTGGAAACTTCAGTGACCCTTGTCCAACAAGCTTAATATGATACTTGGCAATATCATAAGACTTTATTTGTTATTGCTACCAGGAATTCAAATGGCAGTGCCCCTATCTACTCTGAAGATATGGTGTATTGTTTTGTTATGCAAAGGTCCTTGAAATAAGCTGTGGCATCCAGAAGAACTTTATTTTTTACTTTATTCCCTGCATTTGAAAGAGACTCTTGGGACAGAAAAGCTTCCTGAGAACTGGACACTTCTGTATGAGTAGAAAACATTTGAAAAAGGAAATTGCCTATAATGGTTTTGTGGTTGCCTCCTTTATTGGGTTGCAGTGAATAAGTAAATCAAATTAAACTGCAGATGCATTCCCAGCTCCCTTTGCCACTGATTTTCTCAACTGAGAAAAATCAGTTTGATACATTCAAGAACTGAATTTTAACATGACAGAAGCGTGACACTGAAGGCACAGGTCTGGAGCCAGGACAATACTTTTGCCTGTAATGCAGACATGAAAGAAAGTAGCCTAAAAGCTGCCTGGACAGAAACTTCAGAAGTGCTGTGCTTTGGCCTTCTGCCA